GTATTAAAGGAAAGTCAGTGTGGGTGTATATATAAATAAACAAGGAATATCTTTTGTCAAAAAAAAAAAAAAAAAAAAAAAAAAATAGTTTGACCAAAGTATTTCTGGAAGATAATGTTTTTTTTGCAGTGAAACCTGTATTATATATATATACATATATATATATATATATTTTATTTATTTATTTCAGCCATACATGTTTTATTAAATAATATAGACAAGTGTTGTCTATTTATTTTATGTAAATTATTTTCATAACGTCTGATAAGCTTAATAATATTATCATTAAACAAAGAAAGAAAATCACAATATTGATACATATTTTTTAATCCAATCTAAGCTTTCGGCTTACATAAGCCATTATCAAAGATGACAATTACTGTACAATATATTAAGCAATACACAGACAAGAATGTGATGATAGTCTGTTTCTGTTTATATGGATGATTTCCAAGCAACGATAAACACGTGCATATAAGACACTAGAAGCGAAAATCACACGGCAGCTCATGACGTCACACATGACCATGCGAGAGTGAATTCGAGAAGTATTAAGTATGGGAAGCCGTTGGTATAAACCAAAGGCTTCTGTTACCAATTATAGACATTTAAGAATATTTGTGGAAATTTCATAGTTTATTTTGTTTAGGTTAGGTTTGTATATATATTTGTATTTAAACCTTGGATTTTGCCAACTACCATTATATATATATATATATATATATTATATATATATCAAAGGAAAAGCTCAATACATCATTAATGAGTTCAGTAATAATTTATTTTAGACAGACAACTGCCTCACCAGACTGGAGTTATAAAATGGTTTAAATCATCCAGACAATTTATTAAAAGGTATTAAGTAATTTCTAATCAACTGTCTGGATGATTTAAACCATTTTATAACTCTGGCCTGATGAGGCAGTTGTCTGTCTAAAATAAATTATTACCAAACTCTTTAATGATGTATTGAGTTTTTCCTTTGATGTATATCATATTGTTCTGTATTCGCTTGAGGATGAAATGGAACTAATGTCTTTAATTTAATTACAAAATTAAATTCGGGGCTTTTAGCTTCCATTTTTGAAACATGGTTAGAACTGTGTAGTGGAAAAAAACATATTTTAAATCAATTAATTTATAATATTAATGCTCTGTAAATTTACATTGAGCACTATTTTGTAAAAATAAAAATATCTATAAGAACACCGGATTATATATCTTACTGTTCTTTCTTTTAAATATATATATATATATATATATATATATATATATATTGTTTTTTATTTTCAAGTACTTTTGGCATATCTATATCATCAGGGTATTGTTTATTCTAAAATAAATATTATAGTATTCATTATTGTTAGAGACAAATTGTTCTGTTATCTGAAAGTTAAATTTCTTACAAATAGAGTGAGGAAAATTAAGATTAAATTTCAGAATGGTTTTTGTGGTCACGCACTGATACAGTATACACAGACACACACACACATATATACCCCCCCAAAAAAAAATCAAAAGTGTGGGTACCACCAACAGAATGCCTGCCAGGTGACTAAAGAAAACTCAAAAAAAAAAAAAAAAAATTACTAACAACAAAAAACAAGAAAAGCTATACAAGAACAGGAAAATAAACAAACCAAGGAAAAAAAAAAAAAAAAAAAAAAAAAAAAAAAAAAAAAAGACCAAAAATCAGACACATACACAAACAGTAACCAACAGTGCACTGTACCTAGTTTATTAAGACAGTAAAAACACTTCACAACATCATAAAGAGACAAAGCTTGGATTGTTAAGTTTCATGCTCTCATAATCGTTCATGACCAGAATACTTATATTACACTACAGTTCAAAAGTTTCAAGCCATCCCTGGTAATTTTTTAAAATTGCTCCAAAAAGTAATTGTTTTATACTTTAAATAGAAAATTATTATACATGGCAAAAAACAAAAAACAAAAAAAAAAAACATAAGAAAGACATGATTTTTTTTATCAGAAATTTTATTATGATAAAAAGAAAAAAGCATTTTATGATTAAATTTTGCTCTCTTCAAAATATTCTTTAGCTGTTGCAAAAAATTCTCAAAAGATAAGCTTGAGAATTGATTCCATTCTTTTTTCTATGATGCTTTCATTTTTTGGGATGGAAACATTTCACTCTTCTGTCATGTTTATCCCATGCTAATTCTGGGGGTGACTTCAAGCTTTTGAACTGTAGGGCATATAGTCTGTCTGAAGTTATACAAATCACAAACGTCAATAACTTGATTTGCTTGGCACAATTTTTGTTAAATTTTAAATGATTAGTTTAAATGTCAAAACAAAACTAGAGTTTAATTTTCTGGCATAAAATAGCTTCTCTTCATCTTTTAAATATATTATAAATATTTTCACAATAATTGGTTTGATGAGTTTTCCTCTTTGGTACTGCAACTTTACAAATTTAAGTGCAGTACTAGATTGGCAACTAGGTCCCATAATTTCACTGTTAAAATTGCTAGTTGTAAGCATAAGTTCTATATGAATAGTTTCTTCTCCCACACTTCTCGCTTGTGGAACTCTCTTCCGGCTCCCTGATTTCCTGTCAAGTATGATCTAAAAAATTTAAATGCAATGTCAATCGTCATCTTCTGTCTCCTTTTGTCCTCTTTGTTTCTTTTACTCTCAGTAACATCTTGCATCTTAGTGGCTTTTATCCCCTTGTGGTGAAATGAGAAAACATATGATGGCTGCAAATTTATTTCAAGCAATGATAACACTTGATCCACCTACAAATATGAGCGGCATGCATGTGACTTTTTAATCTTACTCTGGTCATACACTGTCGTGTGCAGATGTAACAATGGTAGGTATATAGAATTTCTTCATGAGAAACTTACAAGAACAAATTAAATCTATTTTGGTTTTATTTTACACTACTAATTACTTTACAAATATTGCTGTACATGACTGAGCTTAGCATAAAGATCTTGCCACACATAAATAAGTAATTTTATATATATATATATATATATATATATATATATATATATATATATATATAGGGAAATGTTATAGTTGTTCCAATGAGAGAAAATGTATATTTAAAAAAAAAAAGAGAGAAGCTGCAAACGTTTTTGGTTATAATGTGGATTTCTTTTATTATATTTTATTCTTCATATTTCTGCTACACGGGTTTCTGGTCTTGTGACCTTCTTCAGGCAAAGAAAAGGAATAAATTTTTCTTATGTTCTTTTAATATCTCAGTGTTTGTTTTCTGTATTTGTTAGTGAGTCTTGAACTCACTTTCAGGACTGTTGGCAAAAGTCAATTTCTGCCGAAGTGTTAATAAAACCATTATGAGAGCTGGTGATAATAGATGTGTTGATGAGAGATGTTTTCCTATAGACACGTGGCCAAATGCTTAGAACATTCGCATTCTGACCATGAGACATGGGTCCGGATCTCAGCATGGTCGATTTGTCAGGAAGGAGACTTCCCAATGTTATTGGACTGGAGGAGTCAATCCCAATCTGTGGTACCTTTGGAAAGACCCAAACCTTGCGAGTGAAATTGGTTAGACGGAACCATTGGGGACTGTAAATAGCTGTGCTATCATGAATCGTAAGTCATCATGAGTGAGAGCTTGAATGTGCTTACGTTGCTGAAATTGTTGATCATGCTAGATAATATGCACTTTACCAGAAACTGTAACTAAGGTCTGCTCAGCATAGTTGCAGTATAAACCACGGCATCTGTAATAGGGATTGGCTATCCGCCTTAATAAAAGGCATGAACACTTAAAATTTCATAGGTTATATTTATTTTGTTAGGGTCTTAAAAAAGGCCCCAGTTCATCAGACCTTCAAATCCAAAAGGAAACAGAAAATATTTCTCCAGGTTTAAAAAAATTTATGTAAAAGTGTATACATCTATATTTCTGAGATGAGGTATTATGTACATTATTTACATTATTCGGACTATTGTCCTCATCTTTGTCACCATATTTATTACAACGTTTCGGCTGTTGTACGCTCCAGCCTTCTTCAGGTTCAGTTTGACATTCCAACCATCTGAAGAAGGCGGAGCGTAATGCTAGAAAACTTGTAATAAATATGGCAACAAAGATGAGGACAATAGTCCAATAATGTAAATAAAAGTGTATACATGGAAGTTGGGGAGTGGGGGGGGGAAGAAATATGCATATGTAAGATTGAGAGAGAGGTGGAAAGAAAGACACACACACACACACATATATATATATATATATATATATATATAAAATCTTGCAATAAACAGAAGTATTAAACAAACAGTGTAAACCCAAAAATTGTACCTGAAGATTGCAAATGGCATGAAACTCTGAGTTGTGCAACCAGCGTAGGGTATTATGTATATTTTTTTTAATTTGACAGCAATAATTATAAAACAGACAGTTTCTTATTTATAATTTAATCAGTTTCACAGAATTTGAGACTGACAGTAATGGTACTGATCATCTTCATTATAGGGTACTTCAGCTAGTGTAGTATAATTTCCTTTGCAATTAATCCATCAGATATGGCCAAAAGTCGATTCTCTACTAATAATAATCACCTGAAAGAGTCATAGTTTCTTTCATCACCTGAATTATGTCAGCCTAACCTAGGCAAGTAGCCAATGACTGATAGACTCTGAGAAAAATTGCCAAATACAAAAGTAGGACATGGATAGGTCAAACCAAAATGAAAAAAAAAAAAAAAAAAACAAAAAAAAAAAAAAAAAAAAAAATCAACAGTACATGCACTTAATTGCCCGCCTGACGTGGCTCTGGTTGGAAGTTGTGTATGTTGAAGTAAGTTCGAACATGTTAATACTGCATAAAACAAAACAAAATGATGTCTGTTCTGAAGAAATAAGGTCAGCTTTCTTTTATTAATCAAGTTAGATTATTTGATATATTTTTTCCACATTGAAAATATTTAGACAAGTGTTACAAAAGTTTGAAATGATAACATTATCTTTGATTTACGCGTTGGGAAACTATAAATAAGAAAAATGATAAAAGCTTAATGAAAAAAAAAAGAGAAAGAAGAAAAACAAAGAGAGTAAAGAGAATGACAATGAAGAGTAAAAGTGAAAAAAAAAAAAACAAATAAAAAAGTGAAGAAAAACGTAAAAAGATAAAAAGGGAGAGTAAATGAAGAAAGAAGGAAAGAACAAATGAATGAGGAAGCAAAAGTTAACAGGACAAAAAATAGAAAAAAAAAAAAAAAAGATATAAAATGAAAAAATAAATAGTAAAGGGGGAGGAGGGTTTAAGAGTAAAGAGGGAGGAGGAGAGTGAAGAGAGAGAGGGAGTGAAGAAAAGAGAGGGGGAGAGTAAAGAGATGAAGAAGGAGGAGAGGAAAAGTGTGAAGAGAAGAAAGAAAGAGTGGAGAAATGAAGAGAGGAAGGCAAAGAGGAGGAGAGTGAAGTGAGAGGAAGGCAAAGAGGAGGAGAGTGAAGTGAGAGGAAGGCAAAGAGGAGGAGAGTGAAGTGAGAGGAAGGCAAAGAGGAGGAGAGTGAAGTGAGAGGAAGGCAAAGAGGAGGAGAGTGAAGAGAGGACAAATAGGAGAGAGAAGAAAGACAAAGTGGATAGGGGAGTGAAGGAAGAAGACAAAGAGGATAGTAGGAGAGTGAAGAGAAGAAAGAAGATTGGAGGAGAGTGAAGAGAAGAAAGAAGATTGGAGGAGAGTGAAGAGAAGAAAGAAGATTGGAGGAGAGAGAAGAGAAGAAAGAAGATTGAAGGAGAGTGAAGAGAAGACAAAGAAGATTGGAGGAGAGTGAAGAGAAGAAAGAAGATTGGAGGAGAGTGAAGAGAAGAAAGAAGAGAGGAGGAGAGTGAAGAGAAGAAAGAAGAGAGGAGGAGAGTGAAGAGAAGAAAGAAGAGAGGAGGAGAGTGAAGAGAAGAAAGAAGAGAGGAGGAGAGTGAAGAGAAGAAAGAAGAGAGGAGAAGAAAAAGTGGAGTGCAAAAAGAAAAATGGAGAACTGAAGAAATGGAAAAAGGAAATTGATGAGGAGAAAGAGAAAATAAAAATCAATGAAAGAAATTAAAACAAAAAATGCCTAAATAAAATGAAGGAATATAAAATCATGAATGAAAATTCTTACTTACTTGTTACAAGTACTTTGTAATGGATATCTGCCTCTCCAAACATTGGCACCACTTGTTGCTGGAAAAGTTTTAATGATTTTCCTGATCCGCTGTTTGGATTGACAAGAACTAACATTTTTCGGGGTGGATCCACAGGAATGTTTTCTATATCTGGAGAAAAAAGATGATGACATTCAGTAAAGAGCAAACAAAATGAACCTATACTAAAGCAATAAAAATGAACAAAAATACATTTTTGCTTCTTGCTACTGAATATTTATTCTGATGTAATTTCTTCCTCACTCCTAAAGGACATGATCAAAGAAGTAAAAATAAAAAACAAAATCAGATATGAATTTTGAGAAAAAACCTGAACAAGTGAGTGTGCTTTAAAGGCAAAATAAAAACTTGCTTTATTGTGAAGATCTTCGTAGCTGAGCAGTAAAAGCATGATGGATTAGATGACGATTCCTCCAGCAAAAGGGGGGGGGTTGAAATAGTGCTGGAAGGTATATTTTCTTTATCAAGTTTTCTTGTATATGCAGACCAGTAGACAAAATAAATGCTGTTTAAAATAAATGGAGTGTCTACTCAAATATAGATATCTGATAAAAATAATGCCTGAAGTAATAAAACATATATATATATTCAAATGTTTCATTGAATAATATAGACATATGTTTATTTATTTTTATAATAATCCTTTTTAGTTCTCTAATCAGTTGATTGATGTTAAGATGAAATTCATCAAGGAAGGCGCCATAGTTTTTTTCCTACCCAAGTACTTTTGATCTCCTCCAAGATCATTCTCAGGGGCGAATTACAAAGACAAACTTATTCTAACTGTAATAAAATCTGCATTTCATTGTGATGGTGATTAAAAAAAAAAATGCATGAACATTCTGTGTTATAATTATTTTAAAATTGTAAATTTATCTGTTGTAGCTATGGAATTCTTCGCAAAACAAGCGTCCAATGCTAGGCCACAAAAATCTCCTGAGCCAACCAAGCATAGAAATGAATACACCTGAAAAAGGCCAAAGTATACAACAGCTGAAACGTTGTGATAAATATGGCAACAAAGATAAGGACAATAGTCTGAATAATGTAAATAGTGTACATAATACCTCATCTCAGAAACAGACAGATACAAATGTATTTGTGCAGGCCACCCTTGTATACAGATAGGTGAACTTGGAAACCAGCAACGAGCTATTACATAGGCAGCATATCTTCATTCAAACATTCTTCATTGAAACATATGAGCAACTGAGAAAGGAATTAAATAAAGACAAACCATTTCCTATGAAATATGATAAATATAAAAATAACACATTTTCAAAATATATGACAGAACTAAAAAAAAAAAATGAAAATAAAGAAAACACCAGTAGTAGAATTGTATATAATAATAATAATAATAATAATAATAATAATAATAATAATACAAAAATTAGATGAAGAGAAACAAAGGCAAAAAATTGCAACAACTGCATAAAAGAGAAATTGAAAATTACAGTAAATTTTGTGAATGGTTTAGTAAACCTAAGGATTCAAATTAATTCAAACTGCTGATCTATTGCTTTTGAAAAATGTGAAAAGAATGATAGACCTCTGGAGTGTCCAAGATAAACAAACGTCCATTTTGAAAAATTGCTATGCATGAAACAGAATGTAAATGGGTTATTAAGAAAAAAAAAGAAGCAGGGATTGAACCTGCTTCCCACTGTTGTAGGGGAAACTAGAGAGGGAAGCATTTTCTTTTACTAAGACTTCTCAATCCATTTTCATTACTAAGATTTAATTATGCACAGACTAATAGACCCAATACACACTGTCTAATAAATAAAAATGTCACGTCTATTTCAAATATAATGTATTGACTAAAATAATGCTTGAAGTAATAAAAATGTCAGATTAAAAATAAATCCATCAATTCTTTATGTATATATTATATTTATTTGAATGGATATGAGTTTGTGATTGTCGGTTTCACGCTTATGCAATCCTCAGACAAACTGACATATTTTTCAAAATTTGAAACTGTTTATGTTAGTTTTTGTTTGATTATGTTTGGTGGGGTGAGGGAGAATTCTCCTCTGTTTCTGCTTTTGGAATGACACTCATACACACAGAGACATACATACATACGGGTGTAGGCATTATGGTTCACACAAACATATACATATGTAAACACGGCGGGACCAGGTGCAGACATGTATCCATATGTTTGAGCATGCAGACATAATTAATTCAATTGTAATTTTATTTTGATGTTGGGACTGAGTGTAGCAATAGTCTTAAAAAAATATGTCAGTTTGTCTGAGGATCACATAAGCATGAAACCCAGAGTCACAAACTCATATCCATTCAAATAAATATGTCAACTCTATCACTAATACTGAGTGCTTTTCAATAAACACCACAAACATACATAATATATATATATATATATATATATATATATATATATATATATATATATATATATATATATATATATATATATATATATATATATATATATATATATATATTATATATAAAATATATTATACTTATTATAAAACCAGGTTGTGTGTGTGTGTCTGTACGTTTATATATTGGATCGGATTTCTTACATTTTTCAACCGATTTCAACAAAACATCACAGGACTACGTAAAATTACCTTGCGGTGGTTCTGACAGCACCAAAATTGTAAAAACAATTGTTTTTGCACAAAATCAATTTGAAAACACGATTAAGAGTCATCGCAAGAATGAAAGGGGGACAACTCATATCGAGTTATACTTATTATAAAACCCAGGTTGTTTGTGTGTGTTCGTTTATATATGGGATCGGATTTCCTACATTTTTCTACCGATTTCAACAAAACTTCACTTTTTTTTGGCAGGTAGTGTTTCTTATTGTCTTGCACACTTTTTTCTTTATTTTTACATTCAGAATGCTTTAAAAATTCCATTTAAAAGACAATTGTTTATAATAAAATTCTATTCAATCGATAGACTCATAAGGATTGAAAACAATGTTTTTATTCGAGTTTGGGTTTGACCAATTCGTAAAAAAAAAAAAAAAAAAAAAATAATTAAGACATGCATGTCCGTCAATCTTAAACAATAATCTTTGTCAATTTTATTTTTCAGTCTTTATGATGGTGGATACTTGATCTATCTCTTATTGTTACATCCCGGCAACGCTCTCTCTCCCTAGTATATATATTAATGAGTACAGACAATCCTTAAAAATACATTTATAAGGAACGTCTGTACTCATTATTATTATATTGCTCAGTTACTTATATTGAGTTCTCTTTGGATTAATGTCCTCCTTGGAATTATCCCTACCAATTATACACACACACACATATATATATATATATATATATATATATATATATATATATATATATATATTAGGAAGAATAAATAGAGCATTAAAATTATTTGTTATCTCAATTTTTTTTCATAGAAGAAATAGTGAGTTGGGCATAGAAGTGGAAACTGAAATCAGAGCAGTGGAGGTCTTTAAGCTGACAACTTTCTTACTGAGTTACAAGTTCATACTTGTTTTATTCATTGGTGGATGAAATCAAATGTATCGTTTTGAGCAAGGCTTAAAAAAAAAAAAAAAAAAAAATATACACATATTTGCTGGACATCCACAAATTCTATTATCAGACTTGGGCAACAATGGCTGTCCACAAGATTTATCTTATCCCTTGTAGCCCTTAGCAATGTTTGTCCCCTTACTAGGTACCTCCACTAATTCGGTATACCCAAGGTTTAAAATGAATTTTCATAAATGAAATATCTTTCTTGTAGCTTTCATTTTAGCTTTAATTGAAAGCTGAAGTATTACATTTATTATTTCCAGTAAGCAAAATACTCTGTAGTGTATTTCAAACAAAAAATTATATTGATTGGAATTGATTCATTTTTTTTAAACTAAAAATAGCTGATTAGTGCTCTTTTTTAACTGTCATTGCAATTTAATTCTCTTTGTTAAAAAAAAAATCTTCCAAAAATAAAATATACTTTTCTGAAACTTTATTTGATGAATATTAGCTGATTTAAAGTATAATTAATTTGATTTGAAAAAATATTATTTACTTTAAGTTGAAAATAAGAGAAATGGATTTTTAAAACAAACAGTAGTGGTGATTAAGTACTTGTCAAGGCTTGTTAGTCAATTGAGAAGTGCTTTAGAAGCACTTGTCAAGTGATTTACGAGGTGTTGACATGTTTATTGTTGTTCTATGGGAGACTTTATCTGTTAAAACATAATTCAAGAAAATGATTGGTGAATGCCTTTTTATATAATTTTCCTTTTAAGTACTCAGTAAATCTTAAAAATGTTAGAAATATTCTCCATAATCTGATTTTAGGAATGTTGACTTTAAATTTACTATCATGATCAATCTTATTTTCTGATAATGTCATGTATGGTCACTCATACTTTCAAAATGGGAACGTTTATAAGCAAGAAAAAAAAAAGAAAAATTATTTTAAAAATCTTTTAAAATAATCACCCCTTGCAAGGTGGGAAGCCACTAGCATGCAAGGGGGTTACAGAGAGTTGGAGCCGGAGCAAATAGGAGTGATAGAGGAAAGGATGAAGAGAAGGGTAGGGGATATATCAGGGCATCTGGAGACGTCGATTGACATTACATTTGAATAATTGGAGATTATAGCTATCAGGGAAACAGAAAGAGGGGAGGGAGTTCCACAGGCGAGAGGTGCAAGACATGAAGCTATTGGAGTAGAAGACACAGCTACATTTAACATTTTCAACAGTGAAAAGGTGTGAGCAAGATGCCAGCCTAGTAGAATGCTTAAATTCATGAAGTTTGGGAAGCAGTGAAAGCAGCTCCTTGGAGCAGTTAACATGAAAGTA